CCTTGGTGATTTGTTTGCAAGTTAAAGCTTGAGAAGTAGGACTCCAGCTGCATTCAGGTTTGAACTGGAATATTCCCTCCGTTGGCTGTTTTTAATATACCTCAGCCTGGCAAGGGAGGTCTTCCTCCCTGCCCTCTAAAATGATGAAAACGTAGTTACCAAGGAGTGTTTACAGTGGCCTTCCTTGGCTCTGGGGGTGGCCTGAGACAAGTAGACTTCATTTTGGGGAAGTTACTAATGCTCCTTGCCTCCCTCCATTCACATAGTGATGAATATGTGACAGCTGAATTATCCCCAAGGGTGCCCTGTCCATATCCATTAGAAATACAGATTAACCGTTTTCATTTGGCTAGAGAGAGCACTGTCTGTTAACCCAGATTAACCTGAGCTAGTTAAAGGCACCAGCCTAGGATGCCTGGGTCCCGATAGCTGGTGAGATGGCATCTGGAGACCACATAGATGAACAGATGCTGCTTTGGGAAAACTATAAAGCCCAACTGAGTCACCCCCACCTACTTGTACAGGAGATGGGGTGGAGGACAGCAGTAAACCAAACCCCACAGAGAAAGCCCAAAGCAGCAGGGAGGCCAGCTCTTGGTCCTCTGCTGAAGGCAGGGCTCACAAATTCATCTCAAGGCCAGGCTTTTATTTCCTTTGGGAGTCCACCACCTCTTAATCACAAAAGCAATAAGAATTTCCAATATGTTCCTCTGCCGTGCCTAATCAGTTGTTCCAGCTGCCAGTCATCAGCGCCGTCTTGAGGTTCACCTAAAAGCCTCTTCCAGCCTTGAAAGCAGCACTGACCCCCGAGGTTACACCAGACAATGAAGGCTGCCCCTGTGGGCAGCCTGTATGTGCCGGTTGATTTGATCACAACAGTTTTGTTAATATTGCCCTGGATTCTGGAGGGATTGGTTCTCCTCCATATGCTTTGATTGATAGGCCTCATTGTATGCCCCATTGGTTGGATTTGGAAAATCATTTTGAGTGTGTATGGAAGGAAAGTTTTCCTTTTATGAATGACCTTACAATTGCACTCTAACATGGAGATTTTCTTCCTGAGGTTAAAAAATCGCTTGGCAAAGCCTGAGCATTTGTCTGGAAGCATGTGTTATGGTGGGCAGGTCTGTGTGAAGCCAGCAGGTATTCAGACTTTGAACATTAAGAGAGCAGCACATAGTTGTTACAGAGTAGAGGCTGGAAAATTGTGTTTGGATAAATGAATGAATAAAAGAATATTTTTAGACTATAGTAAGTAAGGTGGAATCCTGGATGTATGACTGTGATATAGGTGGAAGTTCCTAGAAGTTAGTGTAAGTAGGAGAGGCATTTCCTGTGCCATAGGGGCAATTTCTGAGAAATGTGGATCTTTGGTAGAAGCCAAGGGCAGTCCTACTGAAGTCACAGCTACCTGACTCCAGAGTTTTGTCCATTTTATTAGAAGAGTATACGAGACAGGGGTCGGATGAATGTTGGAAAGCCATGTTTGTGTCTGTTGTTGCTTCCTCTAAATCTCTGGTCATTATATTGGTCACAGGCAACATCCACAACTAGCAATTTTGCCTTGAACACTGCATGCAGAGCTCTCTGTGTAGCCCTGAGTTATAAGCTTCTACTAGGTTATCTCACCAGAATAGAGTTTGTCCTCTAATTCTCATCCCATCTGTTAGAAAATAGAGGCAAATCACAGGCCTCATTTTGCCGAGAGGTGATTTCTTACACCCTATGTAAGAAACTGTCCAGTATGTTTTCCAAATTCAAACTTTAAATTGAACCTAAAGCCCTCTCTTTCATATTCTCATGGGGCCCCTAGACAAAGGGCCACTGCCTGTTCCGGTGCCATTCACCAAGTATAGCAGTGGAAGGAAAAGCAGTAGGTGTGTGTTTGACTGTTGCAGGTAACACTAGACCTCAGCACAGGGGGAGGGCATGTTTCTGAGATTTCAACCCTGTACCATAGACCGCTTATACCCCACCCTTATACCTCACATCCTCTCCACCATCTATTCCTACCAGCAGCCATTGCTTTGTGGCAACCAGTTGCACCAGCATAACCGGGCAGCACCTCCCCTCAAATGCACCTTCTGCCTCTGGATTTCTGCCCTCGGGCTTCTCTGACGCCCTGGTGTTGGGCATCTGTGAGAACTTTTATCTACTCTGGTACATGTGCCTACTTGGAAGTATGAGAGAATTGGCACTCTGAGTCAATCCTTGACCAGTGGGGAACAGGAGTTGGTGGGTAAATGTTCCATTCTGTCCCTGTCATACTCACTGAGCCTTAGATGGACTCCGTTGGCATTTAAATTGTGTTTGTCTTTGTTCAACAAACAAACGTGAATGATGCTGTTGGAGATAGTAGACACCAAGAATGTCTTGTTTTCTAGTCTCTTCCAGGACTTAGCTCAGTGTCTGCCACGTGGTAGGTGCTCCATAAATATTTGTAGAACAATTGGCTGCTAAGAGAGGAATGAGAAGAACACAAGTAACTGTGCCCATAGAGCAAAAATGTTAAAATAATTAGAGAAAGGTAGAGGTCATCACAGTCAAAGCACAGTAGCATAAATTGTTATGATGTGTTGGAGGTGTGATCAGTTATCTGGTTTGGTCAGCGCTTAGGGAATATTTTGGGGCCACAAATAAAATAATGTGTTAAAGCCCTTTGAACACTGTTCGATGCTCTACACTAGTAAGTCTCTGTATTTTGGTAGGATTGATATATAGAGATCTGTTCCCCTCACTAAACTGTAGCCTCCTCAAGGGCAGGGACCCACATATAGTAGAGTGACTAGCGTGTTGTAGGCACTTAATGAATATTGCGTTAAAAAATAATGATTGGAGGATGAATGGATGGACAGATGGATAGATGGATGATGGATGGTTGGTCCTGGCTATTATTTGAGATGAAGGAGAGGCCCTTAACCAGGCCTAGCTTTCAGTGTGCAGCAGGCTGCAAACAATATCAAATTTCCCAGCCTATTTCACTGCAGTTAATGCAAAAATGTGGCTAATATAGCTAATGTAGACTTCTGGGAAACACCAAATTTTCTTTTGAACCATCGAATAGAGCAGAGTGTGCACACCAACTTTCCCTGTTGCCTGTGGGGTCATAAACAGCAGGGGCAGCACTTCCTCTGTGATAAACACACACACATATGTACATACAAAAGTACCTCCAGGGGATAATAAGTGATGGGTGCATTCAGCAACTACAACACAACAAATAGGAGAGCTCATGTTTCTACACTAAGGCAGATAAAAAAATTAGCTGTGTTTCCACAGTGTCTCTGTGACTTCTTATTATTCCATTAGTTTTTAGAATAGTATATAAAACACCCAGCTCCATGCTGACAAACACCAGTATTGAAACTATTGCCACAGTCAATCCAAACAGCCTTCTCCCGTGGGTAAAATTATTATTTGGAATACAAGCGGAATTGTGGTTGCCTGAGCAAGCTGAGCATAAATGAGGGTAGTGATTCATAAGGTGACTCTAGCGAGTTTGCAAATGTGCAACTTTTCTGGAGGCTGACACACAACAGAAGCTCTGCATTGCCTTTTTGAGCTGGTAAGCGTTTTCTTCTCACCACCTCTTCATGACTTGGAGGGCTGTGGAGGATGCAGGCTGCTGAGGACAAGAGTTAACCTGACACAATGCTGACTTACCAGAAATAAACCCTTCAAATCACATCACACCCTTGTCAGTGGCTTTTTGAGCAGGAAGATGGTAATTCTGCCTGTTCACGTATTCCTTTAAGTACTTGAACTCTTGTTCCATTGGATTAAGCTTTTGGGGGCTGGGTCATCTGGGGTATTAATTCTATCCTGGAGAGGTTGCAGAAAAGTGGTACTAGTCTAAAAATACAGTTCCCTGAACTTTTAAACCCTCAAATCTCTTTGATTGTATGGCTTCTTTTTCTTAATCCTGAATCTGATTTCTTTTATTTTTTTTAAATCCATTTATTCTTTGATATCAGTAGAGTAAGTTCAAAAGAACAGAGATGGGTATAAAGCTCAGTAGAGCTTTGTATAGAGAAGGAAGTTAAAGAGAGTCAGCATAATGATGTTGGTATGATTGCAGCATAATGAGATGTCTGCTGAGTAGGTCCCAGACACTGAGCGAGCCTCTCTGATAGTGATAGACTCTGAAAGTGACAAGCCCCAGTTTCTTCCGTGACATCGTACCAATTAGCTGATCTAAATGGGCACATATTTAAGTTTGAGGTCAATTCTCAAAAGCTAGGCTGCCCCTACGAATGAGGCTGTGACTCACTCTCTGTGTCGTAATAGGCAAGAGAGGGGGAAGATCTGGAGCTGCATTCGAGGCCCTCTTTTCATGTTTTGTGGTGTGGGAAGAGGCCTCAGTTTTGACCAAGACCAAGTCCGCCATCCATCACACCATCAGGGAAATGCCCTGGGTCGGTTAGACTCTGAAGTTAAAAGGGTGTAGGATCCTGTGCTGGTGCTAAGATCAGGGGAAGCTCCATTCTCATCACATTGATTTAGCAGTGACAGAGAGAGACGCCAGCCTGACCCACAGTGGCTCGCTGCAGTGATGGGAAAAGGAAGAAGGCCTATGTTGTGCCCTTCTGGGTCAGCAGACCGAAGATTCTGTTACCTGACTCTCATCCCCCATGACTGAAAAGCGCTAATACAGAGACCTTTGCCCAGATGCAAACATTACAAGATTGACTAATTATACAGTGTCCAGACAGGGAACTGGCCGGGCAAAGCAGCGCTGAGACAAACCGTGAATGTCAGCCTGGAGTGAGCCCATCGTGAGCTCCTCAGGCAGCAGTAAAGCTCATTAGCCAGGGAACCTGAAAACGTTCCACTGTGAAAACAAAAGCTGTGTCTATCCAATAAGGGGAGAACTGTTCCCTTAAAACCACCAAGAGGAAAACAAACAAGCCCCTAAAATATGCTTGCTGTCAGCCTTTGATTTAAAAAATGTGGCCTTCATTTGGGGTGCAGCCTGATGCTTGTTTCTCCCTTGATTTCAGCTTCCATTTTCTCCAGCAATCATTCAAGCCGAAGTGGAACAGCTGCCGGGGCCGTGCCGCCCCCACATCCTGTCAGTCACCCTTCTCCGGGACATAATGTACAGGGGAGCCCTCACAACCCCTCCTCCCAGTTACCTCCACTCACAGCTGTGGATGCGGGAGCTGAGAGGTAAGGCCATCTGTCTCTCTCTTCTAATAGGTGTCGCCGCCAAAACTCCCTCCACGGAGAAGTGCTTTGACAGTTGCTGAATTTTATTAATAATCCATTGGTGGGTTGAGTTACCTAAAGGTGACATTTTAAAAGTACATACACAAAGCACGTGGATCAAATATCTCATTATCTGTTTTATTTTCCATGGTGAAAAAATTCACAGATATTGGCAATAGCCACCTGAAGTATCTGATGCTGGGAAAATGCATCAGAATGCACCTGTCTTTCCCACCCTTCCTCAGTTTGTTTCAGGGACTCAGTTTTAAGGTAATATCCCTACAGGTTGAAAGGCTTTCCAGATGTGAAATGGTGCCTTCTGCACATAGATCAGTAGTGTTAGCTCGAGAGTGTAGCATAAAAGGGCACGGGATTTTATATGCACGACCAGAAAGAGGCTGTTCACTGAATGCTTTATGTTGATACCACCCTCATAAAGTGTCTCTGGGAGAAAATTTTTAACTTTTGTTACTTCCGTCCCTGTCTTTGACTGCCCAACCCTCCAGTGATGTGAACAGCATGCCACTCCTCTTGTTCTTCTCTCCACTTGTCATTTGCCCTGAGTTGACCTAGTTAGGGGTTACTCCCAGACATCCACAGGGAGGAAAGTTTTTCTGGGGACCCCTGTGAAATCCTGGAGTAGTGGGTGTTTGTTGGACAGAATAATAGGCAGCAGCTTGAATAGGCAGCAGGAATAAAAGTTTTGAATCTTGGATTTCGACAGCAACCTGTGGTTTCATCGTTGTTAGCCTGATCTATGAGGGGTTTTTGTAGAGGGGGGAGGTTGGTGAGAAAGATTTGCCCTGAGCTAACATCCCTTGCCAGTCTTCCTCTTTTTTTTTTTTTTTTTGCTTGAGGAAAATTTGCCCTGAGCTAACATCTGTGCCAATCTTCCTCTATTTCGTATGTGGGATGCCTCCACAGCATGGCTGATGAGTGGAGTAGGTCCGCCTCAAGGATCTGAACCTGCAAACCCTGGCCACCGAAGCAGAGTGTGCAGAACTTTATCCACTCAGCCACTGGCCGGCCCCTCTATAAGTTTTTTAATATGTGTTTTTAAGTCTGACAAACCATATATTTTTTTACTTATGCCTACCCCTTTATTTATTAATACCTCCATTCATTTAATAAACACCTGTTGAGTATCTGCTATGTGTTGGATGTTGTGCCTGGTGCTAGGGACCCAGATTATTAAAACATGGTCCTGCTCTTATAGGATTTAATGGTGAGGATAGACATGTAAACAAAGTATAGTAATGCTGTTTGGATAAATGATGTAATAGAGATGCCATAGGAGCCCAAAGAGGATGTCCCTAACTCTGCCTCAGGGAGGGAAGGAAAGACAGAGCAATCCAGGCATTGAAGGAGGACTAAGCCTTTTCCAGATGGATAAATGGGGAACAATATCCAAGGCAGCAAGAGGAATGCATGCAAGACATAAGGAGGGGCAAGGATACAGGTCTCAGTAGTTGAGGTGGCATCATCCAGAGTGTATATGGCTGATGAAGTCTGGTAAGAGTGGGTTGGTTCATGTGGAACCATGTATTTATGCTAAGGAATTTACCCCTTATCCTCTTGGAAGCAAAGAACCATTATAGACTCTTTATTAGGAGAGAAACACATCAGATTGTCATTATAAAGAAAGAACTCAGGTGACAAGATGGTGGAGTAAGTAAGGCTGGAAGCAGGGATGAGAGGTAGGGAAAATAAGGAGGTTATTGTAGGAGTCCTTGTAGGCAATATGAGGACTTGAACCAAGGCAAAGCAGTAAGGACGGAGCATTTATTCAAGGGCTATCAATTAGGAGACAATTGCTAATTATTAATATATATGTGGAGTAAAGAAGAGGGGCCAAAATTCATTCCTGAGTTTCACCCCTAGACACCAAGATGCAAAACTGTGCCATTAACAGCGGAAAAAAGAGTGTTTAGTAGAGAGAAGGGTGGGAAAGAAGGAACAATAATAAACGGACTTTAGGGTTTTGAGTTTGGGGTGGTTGTAAAAGATCCATGTGGATGTTCTGATGGACAGTTAGAAGTATGGATCAGAGGATGTCAGATTTATTTTAACAGTTCTATGTACATGGTAAATGTAAATAATTATTAGCCTCCTTCCACAGGATCCGTCAGCACAGCAGTGCAAATGATAACCATCTATTAAGTTTGCAGGCACTGGGGACAAGCAGTCTTGCCAGTTATTGGATGTATTCCTATGAGTTAAGATGAGCTTATTCATTGTAGCATTTTATTTAGTTTCCAGTTGGGTTTTAAATGATATCAGCCATGGGCTTTTTTTTTTTTTTTAAAGATTTTATTTTTTCCTTTTTCTCTCCAAAGCCCCCCGGTACATAGTTGTATATTCTTCGTTATGGGTCCTTCTAGTTGTGGCATGTGGGACGCTGCCTCAGCATGGTTTGATGAACAGTGCCATGTACGCGCCCAGGATTCGAACCAATGAAACACTGGGCTGCCTGCAGTGGAGTGCGCGAACTTAACCACTCGGCCACAGGGCCAGCCCCCAGCCATGGGTTTTTTATCATCTCATTTCATTCTGCCTGGCTGAGAATCATACCCCACAAGGTAGTGAAGCTAAAAAACCATCAATCAGGACCTCCTCTTCTTCATCTCATCTTCTTATCAGTAGTCATAATGACTCTTTACAAGAATATAGGAAAAAAGCCATGTCTTATTTTTCTTGTTGTTAGTGCTGGGTCAATTCCGACTGCTAGTGATCCTGCATACAGCAGAGCTGAACTCTGCCCAGTCTTCTTGCTCCATCCTCTCGCTCCATCCTCTCCCTTCCACACCTGTATCAGACAATGCTCCATTGCTATTCATGGGGTTTTCATGGCCACTTTCTTCGGAAGTGGGTGACCAGGTCCTTCTTCCTAGTCTGTCTTAGTCCAGAAGCTCCACTGAAACCTGTCCACCATGGGTGACCCTGCTGATATTTGAAATACCAGTGGCATAGCTTTCAGCATCACAGCAACATGCAGCCACCGCAGTGTGACAACTGATAGATGGGTGATATGGTTCCTGTTGGGGCCGCAGCGCTGAAAGCACCAAATCTTAACATCTAGATCACCAGGGCCTGTTTTTCTACATAGCCTTTACAAGAACAAATGTAGAAAAAGATTGTAGCCATTATTGGAGTAAAAAAGAACCACCAGACACCTGATGTTTGAATCTCAGCTCCCTCAGTTGCTTGTTGTTTGAATGTGTTCCTTAGATGCTCCTACTTGCTTGAGTGGGTTTTTTTTTTTTTAACATTATGTGTTATTAAAAAAATTTTTTTTCAATGCCCTCTTTTGAAAGTTTTTAAAATATAGAAACCTCCAGGAACAGTACAATCAACACGTGTACACCCTGCACCCATATTTACCCTTTGTTAATATTTCGCCTCCTTCTGTCTATCACTTTATCTTTTCCTCTCTCTGACTTGAGAGATCCTTTATTTGCTTTCCTGTTGTTTCTGAACCATCTGAGAGACAGTTGCAAATATCATTGAACTTTAACCCTAATTTAAACCTAATTCAGTAGAGATCTCCTGAGAAGGACATTCTCCTACATAATCACAATGTAACGATCACACTCAGGAAATTTGCCATCAATATAGTATTATCTAATATACGATCAATATCCAGATTTCCCCAGTTGTGTGAATAATTTTTTTTCTTTTATTTCCATGATCCAGCATCTAATAAGGATCGCAATTCTCATTTCTTTTGAGTCTTCTTGAATCTAAAGAAGTTCCCCAGCGTTTTAAAAATTATCGTCATTGTCATTATTATTATTGTCTTTCCTGACATTGACAGTGTTTGAGGAACTCAGGACATTTATTTTGCAGAATATTCTACCATTTGGCTTTGTCTGATTGTTTCCTCCTAAACAGATTCATTGTAAACAGTTTTGGCAGGAACACCTCATAGTTGATGTGGTGTTCCTTAGCTCTTTTGTGCCTTAGTTTGCATCTCATGGGGAATTAAGATTAAATGAACCAAAGTAGGTAAAGCATGTAGCATGTTACATGGCATGAAGCAGACACTCAGTAGCTGTCATTGCTAATATAAAGACAGACAAAGCTTGGCATGGATGAGAGATTCAGGTTTGGAAGCTTGAGGATGTTGAGTGATTACAGTGGTTGATAATGTAAATAATCGTGGAAGGGGAAATGGAGAGGAAGGGGACGGTAATAGTACTTTATGTGGCTGGGCGGATGAGGTAGACATTTCACTTTTTTGGCTTTCCCTTGCTGCTGTCACCTTCCCGCAGGATGTGTGCCCCATTCCTGGGCCAGCCCAACTGGAATGGGCAAGTATGTGCAAGGTTATCTCTTCCGATCAGGTTTGGAGAGGAGGATGACATGAAACAGCCCTGAATTATTCACTGTGTTTGCATTAGCGTCCAGCATAAAAATACTAAAAGGAAATGTGCTTACCTTCCGTTTTTGGTTTATATATCTTTGCCTCTGTTTGCCTGGGAAATCCCCCAGTAAAAACTCCAGCAGTTTTCTTAACGGAAATAGGTTTATCACACTTTGCGATTTTTAGTGGGAGACTGGCATTTTTTCCTGCTTTGGGGGCATTGATTCATCATTTACTTAGCTTTAACTCGTTAATAAAATGGGCTGAGTCACAGTCAGAAGTCAGGAAAGGTCGGCCACATCTGTCCAGTTAGCATCAGGTTCTTTGATCCTTACCATCGTAAAATAAAATAAATGCAAGTTCTCTCAACTTGACGAGGTTCCATTTTTATTTTGAAATATTATCTGAACGACACATGATTTCAATGATTTAAGCAGTACCACACCACACCACCTAATGTTGATTTAGACTTATTATGGGAAGTGGTGTTTTACTATGTCGTGTTGAACGAGCCAGTGATACTTTATGACAGTGCCTTCCCATAAGAGGAGCCCAGCGTCTTTGGAAATGTTAATTCACTGGGTTTCATAGTATGTCT